TGGCTCATAGATTGAAGAGTGAAAATGTCTGAAATTTTGTCTGACCAGCACCAAAATTTACCATAGTTTGCAGACTTATTGTGTGCACAATGATGAAATTACAGCTGGATGATATAGGCTTGTATGATCTTTATGCAGTAAGACAGCTGAAATGCCTGTCTGCCTGCTGCTTGTGAATTAGGGTAACTAGGTTGGCTGAGAATACAGCGTGCCTTTCATGCTTATGGCTAAGCATTACTCTGCAGTCTGAGCAGCTCTGTTATGTTTTATCCCTCTTTTCATTGCTCTCTGTGTGTGTATTTATGTACATATGTGAGTACTTGTAAAGGTTTCTGTCCTGTTTGACACATCTGGATGTGTTTAGCGTGGCCCTGGTTACTCTACACGAACCCACTGTTGTTACATAACCCCCTCTTTTATGTAATGACTGCTGCAGCTCTCTGACTGAATTTGCCCACTCGAGTTTTTCCTGCCCCACACCCTGTTGGCCTGCCTCGTTCACCAGCTCGGCTCCTGAGCGGTCTCTTCCTGTAAAAGATGAGTTTAAGCAGCTGTCCTGGGAAACTCCAGCCAGCCGTCCTGACACGTCAAAACAAACCTGAATATATGACCATTTCCAGGCTCCAGAATGTTTCAGTGTTGGGGTATTTTTCAGCTCTTTTAATGGCTTTAAATATCCTTGACTTGAGAGAACAAGGATGTTAAAATGACAGCTGCGGTTTTGATTTCCCTTGTTCTTGTTACTGAGCATGAATCATGACTGATGGCTCTGTGAAGCATAATTGGAAAGTGGTTTTATCTTATTTCATCTGGAAAAGCAGCATTTGTTCAGCTTAACCTGGACTCATGTTCATGTTTCCCTGGAAGATGATTGTACAAAGTGTTTGTGTCTCAAAGTATGGAAACGATGGGGTTATTAATTATGACCTTGTGCACATAACTGAGATAACTACCTTGTGTAAATCAGACGTGGGCTTAGTTCAAGCTACCCCGATCAAGTGTTTTTATTTGCATTTGACTGGAGTTAATATTGAGTATCTGTCATTAGCCCTAATAAAAGAATTGGGTTTTTGTAGCTACACAGTGCACTGCTAGTGTAAATCAGACCTAAATTAATTCAGTTTAAACGAGGTATGTTTGACAGTTCAATAACTCTGCATTTAGAAAATGTAGCCCCTATCACACCTTTTCTTTGTTTTTGTTTTTCCTGTAGGCTACAGTGGCTACAATGAATGTTTTGGGGTGTGCAGTATTGCAGTAACTGCTGTAGCAGGAAGGTTTGAAGAGATGGCTTGCCAATTTTTGAGTCAATTACCCTCTTGATTTACAGCCTGAGCAAAATATGTGAATTCAGATGCTTTCTTCAATCAGCAGCAGCAGTATTTGAGAGTAGTGGCACAACTGACAACAGAAGTAGCCTAAAATATAAGTGAGGAAATGGGATAAATGAAAGCTTGTTTTTTATTTTTGTTCATCAAAGTGTTAGTGGAGACAGCAGAGCACAGGTGACGTAATTTTCACATCCAGAGCTGGCCAGCAAGGTGTCATTTGGGCTTGGACCTCAGTTCTTTGCTTTTGTTGTATTCATCGTGGCATATGCTTGATTTGTAAAAGTTCGACACTGTGGTGCTAAGCTGACATGATTTTTACAGTTATAATTGGTTTTTGAATTGGATCTTTGCATTGTAAACTCTCTTGTTTACAGATGAATTAAGGCTGATTTTGAATGATGTTACAAACCTTGGGAGTCTCACCTTCGCTCATCTAATAACTGGAAATAGAACATCCGGGTAAAATAGTTCCTTGTAAAACACCACTGCTAAACAAACAGTGGTGCAGGCAGGTCCATCTTGTTGGGTACTGTATAATGTGTATGTCATAACCCTTGTGTTTAAGTACCAATGCCACTGTCACACAGGAGACCCACAGGTGTACGCTTTAATTAATATGTGCTTATGGTGCAGAGTCATGAAAAGAGCAGAAAATGGTAGAGCAAATTACAGTGTCCTGGGAAGTACATAGTAAGTCTACAGTGTAATTATACACCTTCACATAAGCTACACTCAAATACAAAGTTAATCTCCTTTCACATGGAAAGGAAGTAGCACCCCTGCTATATTAACAAACACACTGGGTAAATTCCTTAATTCAGATACCATCTTAGTTGAAGATGGTGTAAGGAAAGACAAAGTCAATTGGTATCTTCCACTTGATCCAGGTTATCAGCAGTGGGTAGGGCAGGGATTGTTGGGAAAACAAGCAGAGGAGCGGCACTCGAGGACCAGGATTGGCCACCCTTGCCTTATTTGTATCAATGTTTCCCTCACTTGCATCTTTTTCTTGCTTCTTAGTCCTGCCCACAAAAGATGTGAGGAGAAGGTAATTGAGGAAACTTGTTTACACAGATGTGAGATGTCTTTTCTTTCGGTCCTTCATCTGAAGTGTCCAATCACCAAACAATTTCTAGTCCATAAAATACTTGGCAAAGGATGCTCTTGTGTATCCTCCAGCCAACATCCTTGCTCCTCAGAGCAGGGAAAAGAGCTTTGGGATGTCCTCGATCCTCACTCGACTGAAACGGCTTCCAGGTCAAACAAGGGGTGATCAAACAAGGGAATTGGAATTTACCCACTATGGAGTAGAGGAGCATAGAAAAAGACAGATGTTCAAATTTAACCAGAGATGGTGATGTTTACTACTGTACTCACTTGTAACAGTATAAAAAGCATCGACTGAACAGTATAAATAATGTCAGCATCCATTAGGAAACTGGTCTTAGCATGACGGGGCATCACACGTGTTCTGTGTGTTCATGGTCGATTTCCAGTGGAAGGCAGATGTCCAGTGTAGATTGGTCGGCCACTCAGTGGCTGACTCTCAGCCTGGTGGCCTGTTGGTTTTTGGAAGAGTTACTATGGTACAGGGTGCCCAGCACGTCAAATCTATGTGTTGCATCCAGGGAAGCACCAGAGTGGAGAATGTGCTGATAGCCAGAAAACAGCGGCTGCAGTGATCACCGTTGGTGCTTTTGTGCATGAGAGTAGGGGGAGGAAAATATGTTCTAGTTAGAGGGGGGATGAAGATCCTCCTATCTGCTCAGCAACTCCGCCTCCTCCTCGTGCTCCTATGTTGCCTTCATGATTAAGATCACTGGACTCCTAATGGTCTCACTGTGTTTGTTTACTGAACTGCAGTTTTAGTTCTTCCTGTATTTTCACGGAGCTGCTGTTGATTCATTGTAACTGACCTGTCAACCCCTCATCAGACCTATTGATATAGCCTAAGGAGCAGAGTTGGGGTTCTGGGAAACTGCTTTAATTTGGTTCAGCCCTAATTTCCCACCCTTTCCTGGTCAGGTCTCAGTGTCCTCTTTGTGTGGCCTCTGTAAGCAGGCTAGTGCTGAGGTGTCTGCTTCACATCTTCCAGTGCACTCTGAGGGACTTTACACCTGGCCTGTCCACCCTTTGGTACATCAGCTGTCCACCCACCACTTGGTGAATCATTGCACTAGATGGTGTGTCACACTTTGGGCCACCAGTATTGTTTTGAGGTGAATTTCCACAAAAAATGAATCTCCAGTGCCTTGATCTAATGCACCAGCCACGGGCGTGTTCAGGAGGGTTGCAGTGTTTGTGAACATTCACTACCCAGTGTGTACGAACAGTTTGTTTGTTTATCTTTGCACAGCAGGATTCAATGTAGAACAGTAATGGGAAGTGCTAGCAGGAAGCACAGCAGCTGTGTTTGCAGCAGTGTCCTTGGTACTTTAGTGAATAAGCCATAGATGTCTAAATGTTACAGCTGACTAAAGGAACAAATCAGAGTGCTTTTGTTGCACTGATTGGTGGTTGATGTCGCTGTCAGCCACAGAAACTCTTTGCGCTCAGCCCCACAATAAGATGGTTTCTGGTTGGATTATTGTTTATCCCAGTGTCTGCTGCACTATGCCTTAACCCAGCCCCATCCGCTCCAGCACCCTTTGGCCTGTGGATTGCTTTTGAAGCCCGTCTGTTCCTCTCCAGGCTGCCACAGCTTCCCAGTCCTTGCATGTTCCCATCTTCCTTCCCTTGCCATCTCTTCTCTCTCTCACAGCACCAGCCCTTGTAGACTTCCTCCATCCTGGTGGACAAACAACAACGAAACTGGTGTGGGGAGGGGAAATCAAGGTCTATCTTTGTCTGCAATCTGACTCATTATTTTTATTCAGCCACAGTCACTGAGGCCTGTATTGTGATGAAATGGCGCCCTCTGTGGTTGCTGCTGTATGGTGCAAGAGCAGACATTTTCCTCTCATGTCTGCCTTTGAAATGCCCATTCTGTGTCATACTGGTAAAATGGAGTACTCTGCTCTCAGCTGGCATTCATTCTTGGACATGGAATAAAGCAGTGAAATGGAAATCTCTCTTTTCATATTTCACCCCCTCTAATTATGTGTACTGATCATATTTTTGAATATAATGCTTTTACACAGTGCCTGCAGTTGCTAGTGCTGGGAGCTTTGTGCAGTACTAATTCACTGACCTCTGGAGTCTGACAGGGGAAATGCTCGGAGGCTCCCTAGTTAATGTGCTCTAAATGGTCAGATTTAGTGTTTCATTGTATTATATCTGATAGGGTGATTCATAACCACACATCCACCAGACTTGTCTGTACACTGCTTAGAACAAAATTATTTTGGCGGAAACATTCACTTTAAAATTAGGGCTGCAACTAACACTTACTTTCATTGTCAGTTGCTGATTATTTTCTCTTTCGGTTTGTAAGTATAAAATGTCAAGCTACAAATGTAATATTAAAACTGTCATGGTCAAATTCAATCTTCAGATGGCTTGTTTTATCTAATCAGTCGCCCATAACCCAAAGACATTCTGTTAACAGTTATCTAAAATGGTAAGAAGCCGATAAGCATCATTGACTAGCAGTTGCATTTACAATATATAAGGTATATTTTTGCCATATTTCACCCAGAATCTTATGCTCACACCCTGTTTCTTCCCCAGATGGAAGCGAGCAGAGAGCCGCTACACTGTGGAGCGAGCCGCTATCATCAGCCACTGGAACTGGCTCCAGGCCCACATCTCAGACTTGGAGTACCGTATCCGACAGCAGACTGACATGTACAAACATATCCGCGCTGGCAAGGTCAGTCCCTTACTCTTGTGTTAGGTTTGCCAGATGTTTGCGATGTGTCGGTTTTGGTGCAGAAATACATTCAGCTTTTCTATCAGTAGTCACAAGAACAGATTCTGTACGATAAGGCTGCTGCTGTGGTCTTCTGGTTCACACTACATGGTCTCTGTGTAGCATACACTTGTCTGTCAGTTGTAATTTAACTGGTGTTCCTTCATTTTATCTCTGTGCTGGAAGTGCAACACTCACGTTTTGATTCTGTAGGGCTCGGTGGAGCTGGGAGGTGTTGCCCCGAGCACAGCGCCTGCAGCTGGGACAGAGGTGAAATATGAGCCTGTAAATGCTCAGGTAAGCAGAGGGGTGTGTTTTCCTGTACAGCTGGCCATATTCAAAGTGCAAGCCAAGTTCCATGTCCAGTGCCTCAAAGCAGATTCTGCAGCAGTTCAATGATGCCCTTCATTCTTACTGGAGTCTTCAGTGTTTTGTGCTACATACTAGTCACTAAATGTGGGGACACACTTAATAACTGGGGGCACTTTGTCTGTGGGCCCTCTTTACCAGTCAGTGAACAGCTAAAATACCCTAATCAATAACACAGTTGATAAACAAAGCATATTAATTGCCAACAGTGTCTACTGAATCACAAATAAGATAGAACTCAGTTCAGTTTAGAACACCCCACTCCCCGTACAACCTGTGTGTGTTTGTGACTGATATTGGAGATTGATGACATCAATCGTACCAAAATTCATGCCTTTTTATTCTTTCATCATTTACAGCACAAACTAAAGTGTAAACCATGGACAGATGTGAACAATATAAGCCTTTTGCCTTCACATTTGTTTTGGTACAAGGCCGCGTGAGAGTTAACATGATCTCACAGGATTTACAGGCTTGTCTACCGCCAGATGTGCCGGTGGTTACCTGACAGCACCTCAGCATGTTGTTCAGGGTTTACTTTGCCATGAGGTGTGTGTGCTTCTTCACACTTGTCAAGGACTGAAAATCTGCACAAGTTGGTGGAAACAGTCTTTAAGTCTTAGACAGTTTCAGCCGTGCATTCCCGCTTTAAGTCTCACGGGATTTTTTAAAAACTTATTATTAGATTTTACATTGAACTAGATACAAACACAGTGATGTACAGTAGAGCATAGACTAATACAAATCCCTCATACTGAGTTCTGGGTCTCAGGATCTTGTGGAGATTTTTTTGGTGGTTGCAGCAAAGTGACTGAGTTTGCTTGTCTTTTTTTATTTAGTGATGTATTATGGCAATGCTTAGAAACGGTTGGACCACTGTCAAGAAGATCTAGTTGAAAGAGCTCAAGATAATGTGTAATAAATGACATTAAGAATGTGTCTGAACCTGAAACTATTTAGTGTAGCTGTAACTTTAGGTCAGCAAATATTCTGTGAAAAGAACATCCAAATGTTGTGCATATGCTAACCTAGTGTGAAAAACATTTATCTAACAATAATGACGAGGAGGAACCAGCCTTTGGACGTTATGTTGGCAGGTAAATTCACAGGTGCCTGATGATCAATGAAACATTCAACCTGATTTTTCTTGTAAATCAAAGCATCATGGGGAAGGGAAATGTGAACTGTTTTCATCAGAGAAAAGTGCTTTTGTGTCCTTGAACATTCTTATCCAAATAAATGCCTGATTGTTGCTCACAGGACAAGCCCGTCGCCGGGTTTGTTTAAAATGTTTAAATGTTTGACAGACCAGTACGACTGTATGTGTGGCTGCTAATCTGGGTGGTTTTACTGTTGGCCTACTGCACGCTAACAGTTTTCACTTTCTCTGGTTTGCAACTTTGCTGTCGGCCTGAAACATAAAGAATCAGTTTTATCAGATATTTTGTATAAATATAATGAATGTTAAAATTTCTAAGCATGGAATCAGTGAAATATGACCACAAGGTGTAGTCTCACTGTCTTTGTCTTATCTGTCGAAGCAGGATGTCTCTTCAGAACGGCTGGAGCACACAGGCACCGCCCACATCAGCAGCACAGAGTCCGGCCCTTGGAAAGCTCAAAACGGACAGCCAGTTAATGGCGTCCTCAGCAGGTACGGCCGATGATCATCACCTCCGTGTAGGCTCCTAGGTTTTGGGGATTTGTAATTATCCAGTGCTGATATTACTTAGAGCTGCAACTATTAGTCACTTAGTTGATTGATAGAAAAGTAACTGGCAATAGGTTTTGGTTATTTTTCAAACAAACACAAATTTACTAGTTCCACCACTTTAGACATGAGGATTAGTAACTGAATGTGTTTGCTGTGAGTCACTCAAACGAAAATTAATCTGCACTATTTTGATAGACACATCGTTTGAGCCATTTTCATATGTATTCCTTTCAGTTTTATACCAATGTACATCGAATATCCTGGACTCTGGACTGTTTTTCATTAATTTGACATTTTCTCTACAAAAGACCTCATCAATCGAGAAAATCTGCAGTCATCAGTAATGAAGATGACCCTGTTTACCATTAAATGTTCTGATATTAATTCACTGCTAAACAAGGCTTATTAATATAATGAAAAGTATTAAAACTCAGGGGTTTATTGCGTTTTCCGTTTTCAACTTGGATGTATACATGCTACTAATGTCATTAATTACCTTTATTAGCATTTAGCTTCTCATCAGTGGCTGCTTGACCAGAGTTGGTGGAACAGATACAGAGAAACACTGCACAACAAAAGCAGATATTCTGGGCCAGAATATGCTTGTTGCTATTTCATTTACAAATCCCCACATTGGTTGTCCTTGGGACAGGATGGCAGAGAGTGGAGACACCAAGCACCAGCCGCCATCGGCCTATGACAGCACATGTGTGGCTGCGCGAACACGACCGCTAGTCAGCTGCCGACGACGGCGGCTCATTCAGCCCAACACCGTGCCCAACCTCAATGGCAAGGTGAGTGTCTTGGTGCTCAGTGGCTTGTGCATGCTTAAATATTCAGTGTAGAATTTGGACAAATTCAACACATACAGCAAATCAAGTCAAGGAGAACTGAGAGGACATGTTTGTGTAAATAGGTCTGACTCTGAGATCTGTGGGGAGACGCTGCGGATCAGCTCTTATCATGGCTACAGAGCACAAAGACAGACTTTTATTCTTAGACAATATCATGATTAGTTCCCTTGGATCCTAATAGATGAGTAAACAAGGGATGGTTCGCTTATGGAAAAACCAGGGCAGCTTCCTTCAGAGCCAAAAAACAAAGAGGAGAAATTGATAAAAGTAGAAACATGGACTCATTGTTTGTGTTTCCTCTCCATAGCAACACATTCTGGGGGTCATTTTAGACTGAAACAGATTAAATCTATGTCCTTTAAAACAAACATCTTATGTGTAGTTATGGTAATGTCATTTTTGTGTTACTCTTACAATAACAGAACAGTTAACAATACAATGAACGATACCATTTTTCCTTGATCTGTTCGACTGTTCATTTATAGTTGCAGGACAATTGAAGCTGGATTCAAGTAAATTTCCCTCTATTGTTCTATCTGGTTTATAAATTAGTCTGTAGTTCAGTACCAAATAGAACTAATATTAGTCAATGCAAAAAGGCCTTGTGCTCACAGTCCAACAATAAATCCAGAAAACTCTTGAAGCTGAACCAAACAAAAATAGAAAAAAAATAACCCTCACGCACTCTTAGGTAGAGCAAGGAACATGATAAAAAGCCTTTATTTAATTGGGCATATAATAAAACCTACCCAGGTCTTCAGCAGGGCAGAAACGTAACTAATTGTATACATCTGGTACGTTTAATATTAGAACCATTTCTGAAATATGCAACGTCCTGTCATCATGATGCCGAAGTCTTCAAAGAAGGAACTGTTTTCTCCTGAGGTGCATTCAGTTGTAGGAAACCTCTAGAAGCCATTTGTTCTTCACCGAGTAATATTTACTTAACTGTTGTGATGTAGAAGTTGAACTGCAAGTATTTTCAGCTGTACACAGTTTAGTCCTTTGTCTGCTCCCAGGCCCAGAGAAGCAGCTGTATCCAGTGTAACTGCAGGGTCAACCCCAGCTGTGTGATGTGTGGTGGCTGGCCCACCCCCAGAGAGGACCTTCAGTATGAGCTGCCCACCCTGGAGCGCCTGTCACGACTGGATTTTGGCATCCACTCCATCCTCTCCTTCCCTGATGGTCAGTCATTCAGTTTACACAGTTACTTCCTGCTTTACATCGAGAAGGGAAGACAAACAAGGAGTGGCAGCAGAGAGATGTTGGAGAACATCTCTAGTCGTTCACTCAGTTTTCTCTATGTGCAGTGGGATCATGTTCCCCTGAAAAGTGTTGACAGCAGTCCTGATGGTGTCACATTTCAGAATATTGAAGTATAACTCAGGGTTCCCAAAGATCAAGACAGTTTTCTAATTGTTAAGGAGTCTGACATGTTTTGGCAGGGCATGCATGTCTTAAGCAGGAGAATAACTGAGCAACATAGCAGTGAGATTGGCATAAGCTCATAGAAGGTTACCTTTGGTTACCTCCTCATAGATAATCATTCGCTAATGTTGAACTACTGATGGCAAATCTGGAGCTTTGAGCAGCACTGTACTCAGCTGCCGCTGGTGCAACCTCCTAATTCTTCTGCGTTAATTCCTCCCCCAGACGTCTGTATAGGCCTCCGTCTGCAGGAGGTGATGAAGAGCCAGTGGCAGAGCAAGTCACTGGAGAGGAGCAAACCACTGAAAAAGCTCTCTCTCAAACACAAGCTTTCCTCATCCAAAGAGAAGCACAAGTTCACAAACTCACTCATGGCAGTCAGTAAGTACAGACCGTCACTTCAGAAGCTGGCCGCATGTCCTAAAAGTGTCTCAAATTAAATGCCATGCATAAAAGGTTTTAGTGCAAAGACACGGCTGTTAATACATGAATACAGAGATGGAGAAATAACCATGGGAATGAACTGAGACAGAATGTGTAGCCATGAAATAGTGAAAAGAGCCAATCAGGTTTTAAAACTCAGCTCATTATTATGAAGTGTTCTCCCCATTCTCAGTAACAATTTGTTGCAGGCCAGTTTCTGTTTCACAGTGCCATTTTTCCCATTAATTGCTGTACTTCATGATGCCTCAGGGCAGAGACAGTCAGATGATACAGCCGAGACGGTCTACAGTAGCTGGCGTTGTTACACACATACTTTTCATAACTGGTGTGTTGAGGGTGAATTGTGATCTTGCATGTGTTTTTAAAAAAAAATTTTTTTAAACATTTGCTGAACTTCACATGGGACTGTTCCTGGTGTTGCAGGACTGGGCCACTATAAGAACCGTGCAGAGAAGCCAAGGACGAAGGACAGCAGTGTGAGCAGCAGCGGTGCTGTGCTTAACACAGCCCGGCTCGAGGGCCAGTCCATGTGCCAGGCTGAGCGGCTGCAGGCCCTCTCCACCTCCCTAGGGCCCTATGACAAGAACTACAGCCGCAAGAGATTAAGAGAGCACTCGCTGGACAGGACTGACAGTGAGTCGTTTAGAAATGAAGGCAGGAGAAAAGCATTTATCGTTAGGCCCGTTTGTCACAACTGAAGAAAATCTTGTCTGTGTCCCGCCCTCAGCCTCCCCAAAACTGTTCCTGGACTCGAGCAGCCCATGCGCGACTCTGGCCAACATGCACTCGTCCATTCACAGCGCCCTCACCCGGCAGCTGTCCACGTCTTCAGAGAACTCCACACCGCTGGGCCCCAGCGGCCAGAGCGTCCCGAGCACACCAGTAAGGAAACGCTGTACTGCGTCTTTGTCTGATGATGTACTGGGACCTCGTGATTCAGATTCACATGACAGATGATGATCCTGTTAAGACACTAATACGAGTTGTTGAGGTAGAATTTCAGGCACGGCCGGTCTGTTATAGGAGATTCAAACTTACTAAGAAATACTAAAAATGTTAGAGAACCTGTGACCAAAATGCAGCCTACAAGATGATGATGATACAGCGAGTGGTGCTGTGAGAGGGAGAAACTGGCTTCACTGAAGCTGAGATGCATCAGGAAACAAAACCAGTGAGCAGACTCACTAGGAGGCCAGCTGCTGAAGCTTGTCCTCCGCACACCAGCTGAGTTTTGCTACAGGATTTATATGAGAAATACTCCTTAAGCAAAGTTTAACCAAGGCATCAATATGTAAAGGATGCCTGCTAATGGTTGTGACATTGCCTGAGACTGGAGTTATTTTTAAACTAGCAGCCTGGTAGAAAGCCCTTGCTCTGGTGGACATAGCAGGAACACAAATGTAAAAACATTTGTCAACATCCAAATTCAATAATTTTCTAGAATTAATTGTTCTGATGCGACTTTAACTTCCCATTGTATTTTCACATTGAAGTCTCTGTTGCAGTTTAACTAGACGGACGGATAAGTGACTGAACTCTGCTCAGCCGTGGTCAGTTAGGAAGTCCCACCTTTGTTCTGTTGATCCTTACATTTCCACGTGTGTTGCCCCTCCCCCCACAGCAGCCCATCAAGAGGAGGCGAGGTGAAAGCTCTTTTGACATCAACAACATTGTGATCCCCATGTCTGTGGCAGCCACCACCAGAGTGGAGAAGCTGCAGTACAAAGAGATCCTCACACCCAGGTAACATCTGCTGCACGGTGCCAGGTTGTGACCAGCCAGATGTTTGGGCTGACACAGTACCTGCCTGCTCGGCTGCACTGTCCACCATTTCCTCCTCTAAATCACTGGGACATGTTAGAAGTGCTGCCTCCTGTCCTCACAGTTGTTGTTCTGTCTGTGTAGTTGGAGATCTGTGGACATCTTCTCGCAACCTATCACTGAAGAGGAGAACGAGCGGGATGTGAGTGCTCACTGACCTAGGTGTAGTGATCAGTAGTGCACCAACCTGCCTGTTCCTACTGTTCTATTTGAAATTGTGTCACATGTATAAAGCAATTGATATTTTACCAAAGATACAGAATACATCAGCTCTACAAATATATGAATAGTGAGTGACACCTAGTGGTCAGATTAGCAACTGCAGGCCTCTTTTCCAGTGGATGCAGTTTAATAGCCTTTCAAACTTTGAGCATCTAACGGTTAAAATGCAGATGTTCTCTATTAAAAATTGTAAAGGTTGTTCATCCAGAGAGATTCAGTTTCCTGCTGTAGAAGAAAACGGCAGAGTGATGTCACACCGCAAAATGTTTACTCACGAGCCACAGTAGCATGGCTCATAGTAGTTGAGTTCAACACCTAATCATTTGAGTTATTGTTATGTACAGCTCTGTACTGTGAAGTGTGATAGAAGTGAAATTGTGTGCTTGATAAATATCCTTTCATTGATGTCTTTCATACTTCAGCTGCTACAAGTGTTGAAGTTGTCGTTTAGCTTGATACATGAGCCAAACAATCAGTTATCAAACTTGTGGCATTAATTTTCTGTCAGTGGATTAATAGATTAAAAGTGAGCACATGTTCCTGATGTCACCGTGTGTGTGATTGTGTAGGTGGAGGACCTGACTGATGCAGCCTTTATCCAGCTCCATCAGCCCTATGAGGACCAGGAGCGTTCCCGCTGGACTTGGATGGCCCTGGCTCCGGCTAAGAGGAGGGGCAGCAGGTCTGTCACAGTTAACACACCATGATGTTCTAGTGTGTGATGTTAGCTGTCACTGTCTCACTGAGGCTTGTCTGCTCCCTCAGGTCATACAAATCTGTTGACGGGCGGACCACACCGCTGCTGTGCGGGACCAACCCTCCCACCCCTCAGCCTGCGTCCCCAGACCCGGGCCACTGCCCCACGCTCCACGACTACAGCCACGTGCCATCGCCCATGAGCCCCGCCAGCCCTGACACCACCTCCAACCCCCTCACGCCCTGCTCCAGGGACTCGCATCGATTGCTGTCCAGCGAGGACACACGGTGCTCAACGCCAGACTTCACCTTCGAAGAGCGGGTATGTGCACCGGGCACTGCAGTTCAGTGTAGAACTTCTGATACCACTTTTTGTACAAAGCAGTTCTAGGGCTGGTTCAGAGCCAGTCCTAAATCTTGAACCATTTCTTTGTATTTTGACAGCCAGAGAACTTCCAACTTGGCACCAACTCTCAGCTGGTCTAGAACTGTGGGTATTCTTGTTTCCCCCGTTAAAAAAAAAAAAAAAAAAAAGTGTAACATGAAAGTGTAGTGTAGTGTAGTCTTGCCTAACTTTTAATACTGAAAGGAAAAACATGAGCCTCATTGATGTGAAACTGAAGCAGCAGTGAACTGTTAGCTAAAGGCTAACATCTTGCATTCAGTGTTAATTCCTCTCAAACGTTAATCCATAGAAATGATGACAAATGCATTGGACGAGTCATGTTTAGATGCCAGTGTAGGCTCAGAGCCAGGAGCAACACTACAAAGTACAAAGGCGACACAGTCATTGTTGTTCTTGTGCACGGCTCCAGCATTGCTGGGAAAGCAGAGTGACGTAATTCCATGGCTCTTTAAGCCTGTGGAAAAACACACCAGTTCTTAGCAGGTTCACTATTTGAACCATCTCCAAACCAGCTCAGAACTAGCAGCTAGTTCATGTTGGTAAAAAAAAAGAGGTATGAGATTAGTTATTCATTATCATTTTACCTGCTGATACATTTCTTGATTATCTGACTGTTTGGAAAAATGGCTACAAAAGCTCTACCACAGGCCCAAAACCTTGAAAAATGTCTGAAACTGGGTAGTTACCTCTTTGTTCATGGAGCTGCAGGTACTCGACGGCAGTATGTGTTCTAATGAACGCTGTCTCATTTTCAGACGGTAGCGCCATGGGAGCGTCGCAGCTTCCCCCTGACAGAGGACCCGGCCCCGGAGCCCGAGGCGGAGGGTGACCACCACATCAGGCCCAGAATGCGCAGCATCTCAGGTTGCCGAGCAACATCCTACGGCCGTCTGGATTCGGACGACATGGATCTGCCATGTGACGACGACGGCGGCCCCAAACACAAGGCTTCCACCCACCGATGAATGACTGACAGGCTGAGGTCGCCTGGCCCCCCCACTTCCCCCAAGCTCCTCTCTGGCATTAACAAGCAGAACCTCAAAGCAGAATAAGATATTAAATGGGTTCCTGTTGTTTGATATTCAAACATCAGTCTAATACTTTTCACAGTTTTTAGTGAACATTATGGAGATAGAAGCCTTTCCCTA